CTCAATGCACCCTTGTCAGACTTGAAGGACTGAAATTGGAAGCATGTAGCAACTACTGCAACCCTGTAGTCTAACTCTTGTGATTCCACAAATTGGATCAGGCTTTTATAAAAATCACGCTCGTGGAAGTGTAAGACTCCACAACGGTAGATTCTACCCCGGAAATCCAGAAAGGCTGGTAAATAAAATGAATAACCTTCATACGCTAACGCCAAGTCAAATATCATTTTCTCATAACGAGCACGCTGAATATGTATTTGTAATGTTTGTAACAACTCATTGAACGTAAAGTTCTCTTTTATATACGCATCGCTCATGTATAATGAACGAAGTTTTCCTGATACTTCCAGTATATTTATATATCCCACAAACTCAGGCGTGACCAATCCAAAGTCTTCAAAGTGACTTTGGTGTGTTATTAAATATAAAATCCATTCTTTATTTATTTGAAAAGCCTGACTTTGCAGACAGTTCATTATCTCGCAGAGCTTCTTGGGATTATTAAGCTCTATATATAAATTCCGCGGGTTACTTGAACTTAAAAGCCTGTAACGATCATACATTTCACTTGTAGGGCTACTTAGGTAACCACCTGTTAGATCTGACAGACTTACTGCTTTTTCTGTAGTACATTTCCAGTCTAAGGGTGGGAACACCATTGGCAAGCTAAGCTTTATTGGTAATAATGAGATATCAAATTTGCAATACACAAATAGTGTTTTTTGAAGATAATACGATTTATTTTTATTCAAAATACGAGTTGATCCGCTACTATCTTCAGCTAACGCTATCAGGCCCCTTAAATCCATTAACTCAACTAAAGCTGCTCCAATAGGGTACTTTTTCGATAACCCGGATTTCTTCTTACCTTGTTCATCAACACTTTCCTCCTCCTTATCCTCAAATAAGTTCATACTCACAGCACCCATTAATTTACGCTTTATGATTGTCTTAGCATGGCAACGAGTATGACCCTCTAATTGCTCCACCAAGGATGCAACACGGATCATGCTATTAGCATCTGCCGAGGAAAATAGCACACAAAGCCCATGAACTATCAGTGCCACTAGCGTATATTGACCAAATAAACCCACCAAGAACTGATCTGACTCTCTGCTAAGCCTCGAGCGAAGAAAATCCTTCGCACTCTCTTTTTCAGGATCGATCAGTATCTTTAGAATGTCACTTGTTGAACTAAAGATATTTTGTTCATCGAACTGCATTGTCATATTTTCTATTCTTAACTGAAGATCATACAATTCCTTTGGATCAGCCACCACACGGTTTCCTTCACCTCTATGCGCCTTTCTGAACTTATCTAGTTCAAAGATGACACCCTCATTATACCGTTTGGTCGCGCTCTTTTCAGAATAATCTTTATTATAGACTTGACCCCTAGCATAAGTATAAAACTCGTTCCAGAAATTATAGAATTTCTCACGTTTAACCAGGCAATCATCCTTTTTCGGGAAGACATGACTATGAATCCATTGCATCATAATAAATTTTATTATTTTTTAAATTAGAAGAGTAATACTCGGGATTTTCTCTCTGCTTATGCCGCTAGCTTTTCCTTGAAGCCCCCGTAGGAATGACCAACTTTATCGATAGGCTTCCCTTATACTTAAGGACTTTCATAATCTCGATTCCGTAGGACAGATTATCGATAGACTTCCCTTAATACTTAAGGCAAAATCTCGATTCCGTAGGATAGATTTTCGATTCCGTAGGACATAAGAGTATATGAGGTACCTTTACCCACAGAAATACTAGACTCAACCCAGACCATGAGAGGAACAAGGGACAGAGCCATGTTTATTCGACCTTGGGACATGCATTATGGGATTTTACCCGACGGGGGGCTGCCTTTACCCTGAGCCAGTATTTCTCCCCTAGAAAATGGTTTAGGATAACCTCCAGGGGACAGACAGCGGTATTACTCTAAAGACCCAGGGAGGGCTAGGGTGACTTTTTTCTTTACTCAAAAGCCTGTTCAAGCCTTCTTTAATGGTTAGACTCTAGCCTCTAATAAAGATCGAGATAAGGGCATTTCTTTGAGAAAGTATAGGAGAAGCTTGATGCTTCAAAATCCAACCCCGACAACTCAAACTTGTTTTTTGGCTAGCAAGAAATAGGCACTTGTTCTTACCTATCTAAACTCTATTTTGGCTTGCTATAAGATTAGTACTGGTTCTTACCATCAATCTCTTTCTTATCTAGAATGGTGGGTACATCAATTCTTGTTGATCACATTCATGGGGGAGAAGCACTGAAGGCTCTAGTCCAGGGGTTTCTTCTTCTTCGATTCAAGCAAGTCGACCATAAGGTGAATCGATGACCTGACTGAAGCCATTCCTAGCCACCATTACTTTCAAAAGAGCCTGTCTTTACTTTACCAGCTTCTCTAAGATATCAATCACTAAACTTAACAAAGTAGCAAAAATCATAAGAGAAGAAAGGTTCACAGAAGGTTGAGAAGTAGTACGCCCGGTTCACCAGGTTCTACCACTGTAGGGCCAAATCATAGTCAAAAGAAGAGTTTGATCCTGGCTCAGAAGGAACGCTAGCTATATGCTTAACACATGCAAGTCGAACGTTGTTTTCGGGGAGCTGGGCAGAAGGAAAAGAGGCTCCTAGCTAAAGGTAGCTTGTCTCGCCCAGGAGGTGAGAAGAGTTGAGAACAAAGTGGCGAACGGGTGCGTAACGTGTGGGAATCTGCCGAACAGTTCGGGCCAAATCCTGAAGAAAGCTAAAAAGCGCTATTTGATGAGCTTGCGTAGTATTAGGTAGTTGGTCTTTTCGGATGATCAGCCACACTGGGACTGAGACACGGGCCCGGACTCCCGCGGGGGGCAGCAGTGGGGAATCTTGGACAATGGCCGAAAGCCCGATCCAGCAATATCGCGTGAGTGAAGAAGGGCAATGCCGCTTGTAAAGCTCTTTCTTCGAGTGCGCGATCATGACAAGACTCGAGGAAAAAGCCCCGGCTAACTCCATGCCAGCAGCCGCGGTAAGACGGGGG